AGCAGCTTGTTGTTGTTGTTGTTAAGTGCCATTGAGTCGATTCTGGCCCATAGTGACCCTGTATATGGGTTCCAAGGAGCAGCTGGTGAGCTTGAATCACTTACCTTGCAGTTCAAAAGACTTTGTAATCTGACACATTAGCCCACAGCGCCACACCAGGACTCCGAGAGCAGTTTAGGAATAACAGAAAGTTACCTACAAAGGAGACCCAGTAAGCCAAAGCTCTAATTTCACAACAGAAAGCATGCAAGCAAGGAGGCAATGGAATGAAATATACAAAACTGAAATAAAATAATATACCAAAAATCACATACCCAGCAAAAATTGTCCCCCAGATATGATGGTGAAATTAGGATATGTCAAGGTAAACATAAAGGAAATTTTAATAACAAGACCAAGTTTACAAAAAAACCCAAAAAACTAAAGGATGCTGAGAACCAACACCAGCCTGAAATTACCATACATGACAACATCTCCTAGAAGTCAATCCAGGTATAGAAGCATTTAAAGTAAAGGAAACCTGTAGTTGTGAAGTGCCGCCAAGTCGGTTCCGACCCATACAAGACTCAAAATAGAGAACCAGAGATATAAGTTTGTTTATTTATTTATTATTTTTTTAAAAAACCTTTTTACTATGAATTGAGTGAAAGTTTACAGAGCACATCATCAGTTTTGCATTCAGCAAATTATATACTTTGCTTCATTACAGGGTTCCAATCATCTCCATGTACCTTCAGTTAACAGTTGTTGTTGTTAATTACTGTTAAATTGGTTCTGACTCATAGTGACCATGTATAGAGCTTCCAAGGAAATACTGGTGAGTTTGAACTGTAAATTTTGTGGTTCAAACCAAACTTACGGTCCATTCCTTTAACCTACAGCGCCACACCAGGACTCCTCAGTTATCAGTATTTACCTATATTCCCTTTAACTCTTGCACTCCTCACTATGTCTACTGCTACCTTTACCTTTCCACTGTCAACCTCCCTCTTGTTGTATATTGCCTGCCTTGTCACCCATGTTAACATGTGTCTACTCCCTATCAACACTCACAGAAGCAGCAGTCAAGAGATCAGATGATGTATTGCATTAGGCAAATCTGCTGCACAGGAACTTTTTAAAGTGTTGAAGAGCAAAGGTGTCAGCTTGAGGACTAAGGTGCACATGAGCCAAACCATGGTATTTTCAATAGCCTCATACGCATGTGAAAGCTGGACAGTGAATAAGGAAATCTAGAAGAATTGATGCTTTTGAATTGTGGTGTTGGAGGAGAATACTAAAAGTGTCATGGACTGCCAAAAGAACCAATACATCTGTTTTAGAAGAAGTGCAGCCAGAGTGCTCCTTAGAAGCCAAGATAGCCAAACTTCGTCTCTCATACTTTGGACATATTGTCAGGAGGGAACAGTCTCTGGAGATGGATATCACGTTTGGTAAGATGGAGGGTTGGAGAAAAAGAGGAAGACCCCCAACGAGATGGATTGGCCAAGTGGCTGCATCGATGGACTCAAGTGTGGTAACAGTAGTGAGGTTGGCCCGGGATCGGACATTGTTTCATTGTGCTGTGCATAAGGTCGCTATGATTCATTCAGTGCTGACTCTATGGCACCTAACAACAACCCCCTAACCTGTGAATAATTTCCTTCTCTCTATCCCCCACCCCTGATTAACCATCATAGAATGTTTCATTTAGCAAGAAAAAATTTTTTTTAACTTTTTACAACTTGTATATAAAAGTTGTATAACTTTTTATACAATGTTTGTCCTTTTGTGACTGACTAATTTCACTCAGCATCGTGCCTTCCAGGTTCATGTATGTTGTGATGTGCTTTTCAGATTTCTAATTATTCTTTAACATTGCATAATATTCTACTGTATGTATATACCAAAGTTTTTTTTAACCATGCTTCTGTTGATGGACATTTAGGCTGTCTTCATCTCTTTACTATGGTGAATAGTGCTGTAATTGTTGTTTTTAAGTGCTGTTGAGTCAGTTCTGAACCATAGCGACCCTGTATAGGGTTTCCGAACATGGGTGCACATTTATTTAGTAGAGTCACAGCTCTTATTTCTTGAGGTTATATAACAAAAATTTTGAAGCTGTCTGGTATGTTTTGGAGGCAGACCACACCCCGAAGGAAAATTTCCTTTCAATTTATTAGTTGAATATATCAGCTACATTATGTATCATAAACCAGTCTAGTAGCTGGCTAAACCACTGAGAACCATAGCTTAGTCATTTGACACATAAAATTAACTATCACAGTGTTTTTGTTTGTTTGTTTTTTCCTCTTCCCCTTCAAAGTTTATTGTGAATTGAGTAATATTTTACATGGGGGAACATCAGTTTTACACTCGTCCTATCGTATTCATTTCATTGCAGTGATTACAATCCCCTCCATGCTTCATCACTCAACAGTATTTGCTTCTATTCCCTCTGGTTTGTTTTTGTTGTTGTTGCTTTGTATGTGCACCAAAACACTCAGGAATATACAATTATTCAGACAGCCAAAGGGCACACCCTACAAGTCTGCCCCCCAGGCGCCAGCACACATCCTCTTTCCCTCCATGAGTCTAAGAGTCATCAGGTGCTCCATCTCTCCATGTTATCATCTCTGCCTCCATCTCTGGCATCGCTGCTTCTCTGGGTAGGATCCCACACTCTGCTCCTGCTCTTCTCCCTTGATAGTCCCAGGGTCTATCCTTCAGGACTGCAACATTGACCACTCACCCCTTTTTGCTATAAAACTTCTACCTTTACAGTTGTGACAATCATAATTAGTCATGATAACAACTGCTCACTATTGGATCATGAGTCTTGCCCCCATCTCCTTTCACCAGACCTGTCTAGATAGGATGAAAACCACTCAGTGGGGATTCTACCTTCCCCCATACACTCTGAAACTAAACTCCCTCTTGAAAACTTGTAAGCCAGTCACTTCATGCCTTTACAGCCCCCTCCATTTTAGGTAGCCAATTTCTAAGTTGCCCTTCCCTATCAACCTTGTGTACAGAGGGGATGGGAATGATCCTTGCTGTAAATATTCTTTCCCTCTTGGTTGGTATTTTAAGCTACTATATCCATAAGTATAGGTCAATTTCATCAGACGGTAGCAATTTACACTTGTTTTCTTTAAAAAAAATTTTTTTTTACTTCTTCTTCTTCTTCTTCTTCCTCTTTTCCTTCCTCTGTTTGAGTTCTGAACATCCAGCTGTTGAAGCCAGCCCCAGTGGGCACTCTTTGCAAGTTTGGGCATCCTTGTGCATATCCCCTCTCTTTGTATTAGCTGGATGCTTCACTCTCAGCTCTAGCCCTCCATGGCCATGTCCTTGCCCTTGGACTCAGCAGTCCCCAGTCTCACTGTATTCCAGATTGATGGGGATCTGTATATATCACAGTGTTTTTGTAAATGTTAACTATTTTACTCCTTTTATTAACTTAATGAAGTTGGCACTGTTATTATATTTAACTTTCAGATGAGAAAACTGCTGACTTGAAGATTATATATCTAGTAAGTGATGGAGCCAAGATTTAAACCCATGTGGTGTTTCTCTAGAGTTCGGCCTCTTAACCACTGTGTCTGCTGCCTCTTCAGGGAAAGGTTTCATTGGCTAGCAAATGAATCTGGACAACAGTCGTTAAATAGTCAAATCTTAACTACCAAGCTACCTGTATTTTCTTCATCTTTCTTTAATTTTTTTATTTTTTTTTAGATTGTATCAATGTCAGAAGAAAGCAAAAGAGGCTCTACCACATTATCAAGAGGCATTGGAATACATTCAGAGCAGTAAAGGTGAAAAAAGTCTTGAGTGTGTTCCGATACTGAGGGAACTAGCAGGTGTAGAACAAACCTTGGGATTTCATGACTTATGCATCAACCATTTATTACAGGTAAGCAACAACGTACTGGTCAACAAAGCTGTTGTAGACCTGATACCTTTCATAGAAACAAATATACTTGATGGTGGTGGTGGGGGTAAGAGCTAGGGAGTCAGTTTTGACTGCTTAAGGTCTCCAAGGAGTGGCTGATGGGTTTGAACCACTGACATTGTGGTTAGCAGCCCAGTACTTGTAGTACACCACCACATGCCTGACTATGTTATTTGCCATAGATGAGTAACACTTACCATCCACTTTACCAAGCATGATATCTTTTTCCAGGGAGTTAGCCTCCCTGATAATGTATCTGTACTATGAGCGAGGAAGTCTTGCTACCGTTGCTTCTAAGGAACATTCTGGCTGTATTTATTCCAACACACACTTGTTTGTTCTTCTGAAAGTTCATGGTTCTTTCAGTGTTCTTCTCCAGTGTCGTATCTCAAATGTATCAGTCCTTCTCCAGTCTTTCTTATTCACTGTCCAACTATCAC